CAAACCACTTCTATATACACACATGCATGTACACACACACACACACACACACACATACATACATACACAGAGTATGTATGTTTGTAAGGTGGGAATAAGTGAAATAGTACCAACAGTGGTTATTTTGACAGTGACAATTAACACTACAAAGGATAGTGTACACATCTTGCCTAGGTTATTTGTTAATGTAATTTTTTTTTTTAATGGAACTGGTCTAAGATTTGAATATATAGATCAGTAAAGAAAAGGCTGAAGGCTGAAACATTCTTTTTTTCCTGAGTTTTTAAGATTTTATTGGCAAACAAGAAAGGGTTCCAGTATTAAACATTCTTAATGTTTTCTTTAAAAAATTGGGTTATGACATTTATAACCAAAACCAACATTGTAGCAAAGGGAGCAAGATCCAAGTTATACTGAGGAATGTGGAAAATTCCCCAGCAAGCTTTTGACCTAGTCTAGGGGAAAGAGTGTATAGTGATAACAGGACTATATCAGACTGCCCCTATTTTACAGCTCCCAGATGGCAGAATTATTAAAGTTGGAGGTGAACGATTTGAGGCACCTGAGGCCCTGTTCCAGCCTCACTTAATCAATGTGGAAGGAGTTGGTGTTGCTGAACTGCTGTTCAACACTATCCAAGCTGCTGATATTGATACCAGGTATGAGTTGGAAATCTGTAGTTCTTACATGATATCACAGGTTTTTTTTTTAAAAAAAACACACACACAAACTTTATGGGGAGAAGAGACATGTCCTGATTTGTAGCTCTACTTGCATATAGAAATTCTTTGAAAAGAAAGAAGTTCAAGGATTATAAGAAAATGGCAGTACATGTGGTATTTATCATTGTTACAGAGAGGATACTGAATGGAAGTGGGGAGGATATGGCTATTACAGTGTTTGCATATGTATTAGTGGATTATCTTTCTTTTTATCAAAGTCCAATATTTGATTTAACTAGTGGGGGGGGGAAGGCCTGCCTGCCAAAGCTGAAAGTTTGTTAAATGGTGAATGAGAGGGAGGGAAGGAAGGAAGGAGAAAAGAAAAGAAAAGAAAAGAAAAGAAAGAAAGAAAGCAGGCAGGCAGGCAGGCAGGAAGGCAAGAAAGCAAGCAAGCAAGATTTCATACTGTAGCCTAGGAGCAAAAGGCAGCACAAGCCACAGACATTTGAGCATTAGCCTTGTGAAAATAACTGTCAACCATAAGCGTGACATATTGGTGTGTTGAAGGCAGGCTGCAGCCAAGAGACCATGTGAAGGCTGAGGATGCATGATTGGAAGCAGGGAGCTAGAATAACACCCAGCCTTACAAACCAGGCCAATCCTGGAACCATATTAGCTTCTCTAGCAAGTTAAAACAGCAGAGATGAATAGTGGGCATAGATACCAGTTGGTGCCAACTCTGGCAACCCTGCAGACAAAGCACATGTTGTCTGTTAAATCTGAGGTATCCTAACTGAGGTCCATTAAATTGAGGGTTTACTGTATATACCTGTATATACTGGAGTTTCTACATAAATGTTGATTGTTTACATTGTGAGGTGTATGTTCTGTCTCTAGATCTGAGTTCTATAAGCACATTGTATTATCTGGCGGTTCCACAATGTACCCTGGCCTACCTTCACGCCTAGAACGTGAACTTAAGCAGCTTTATCTGGAGCGAGTTCTGAAAGGTGATGTGGAAAAACTTTCAGTAAGTACTCACCCATCAAGTAATTCTTGATTACAACATACACAAGGTGGTCACTAGAGGGAGCAAGATGGTCAGTAATACAGTGGACAGCCTGAATTAAGTTTGTGAGTTTTGAATAGTTAGCTTTGAATAGAGATTATTAAAATTATACATCAGAGTATTATACACTGTGAACTACTTTGGATCATAGTAGATTTTGAAGATCTGTTTAGTATGATCTTTAAAAGCAAATGCGTTATTAGAACTAGGAAGAACTGGTTTATTCTTGTTCTCTTCTTCATAGCATCATTTGACATTTATTTTCATGAATCTCTTAACAGTTCATAGGACAAAATTGTGTGTCTTAAAATAACATTTCAACTTATTAACATTAATAGTTTTCTTTAGGACTTTGGAGCAATGCTGCCTTTACGGACTCATCAGAACACAAGTATCTTTCATTTTAGAAGAAGCTCTTTGTTCTAATATCCTGTAGCTTATTAAATACTGCACAATTAAAAAACAGTGTATACTTCTGCCTTATAGGATCTACTTTTATTTCTTTATTAGCACCTCACACAGTTCCAGCTTCTCACAGTTAATGAGAGAGTTGGAACCAGTTGTCTGTTGCACCCATGAACCATTATCTTATTTAAAGGATAATTCTTGGGAAGAGGTATACATATATATGATAATATATAGAGATAGATAGATACAGTTATAGATGTAGAGATAGAGATAGATACCTTTTGACCTATATATTTAATATACTAAATCTTTGGGATGAGATCTGGTTGTGATCCATAACTGGTGAAACAGCAACCGTCAGAGGATTGGATATCTTCTGCCTTTTCAGTTCCCTAGTTCTGTTCTATAGGGTTGTGGGATCATCAAGAGTAGATTATGGGTGTTGCAGAGGGAACAAAGGATAGAAAAGCCTGTTGCATAAGTAGAAATCAGCTTGCACAACATTAGATAGTTCTCTTTACCCTAAAGAGAAAACTTTAATTAAAAATTCCCCAAATTCAATGGCTTAATGATTTTAAAAAACTCCAAGTAATTTATATACTAATAAAAGAATATTCCAATATTTATTTATTTACATGATTTAATATACAGTGGACCTAATAGGTCCATTATATTCCTATTGTTAAGAAAATGTGCACATCAAGTACACATTGATCAGAATTAATCTAAAACTGGAAACAGGAGCTTAAAACTCCACTTTGTCCCATAGCATTTACACTAATTTGTAACTATAGTTTCATATTTAACAATATTCTTGCATGTAATTCCCTGAACTAAGACATCGTTTACAAATGTTTTTATTAACATTTAAATACATGAAGTCATTATCCACTTATCAAAAAAGTTAAGTCATTTAAATCTTTCATCATCATCATCATTATTGCTTGGCAATTTTGCCCCACAAACTTCAGTAATATTGCTTATCTTTTTTCCTGTAAGAAATTTAAGATTCGAATTGAGGATCCACCTCGTCGAAAGCACATGGTGTTCCTAGGTGGTGCAGTTCTTGCAGACATCATGAAGGACAAAGACAACTTCTGGATGACCAGACAAGAATATCAAGAGAAGGGAGTGCGTGTGCTTGAGAAACTTGGGGTGACTGTTCGATAAACTCAGAGTCTTTTTCCCATCACTGCTTTGATGCTGTCATTCCTTTATTACCAATCTTTGAAGTCATTCAGCTACGTGAAATGGAAAGGCCTGTCACTGTCCTTAGGCTCAAAGGCTAGGTTTTGTTCCGCTCCTTTTTGTTAGATATTTGATAATGTGGCTATATTTAACTACTTAATTGGACCACTTCTCTGCAAACAAAACAAGGGCAAGACTGGCCTGTCTACTGCATTGTTTCCTTCCCAGTAGGCAGTTGGATAATTCCAATAAGCTTTTTTTCCTTTGCTTTATTGCTGTAACGCTATCAGCTTTTGTCCATAAGCTCATCATGGATCAAATACTTTTGTTAGCATGAGAGGACTCGAAGAACAGTAGTTCTTGACTATCATGTGATTATAGTGATTTATTTTTGATTCTTCTGCCTTCATCCTATTTGCTGTTTAGTGACATTATTTCTTACATAGGAACTCTGAAATCAGGTCAAATTACCAGCATATTTTTTTTTAATATTATCCCAGAATATTTTTAGAACATAAGGCTTAAATACCATGATAACTGGCTATGAACACATGAATCAGGCAGTAAAGGTTAAGGAGAAAACTCAATATTATTCTTTCTAAAACGGCCAGTAATTTGCTTGGTTGTTGCTACAAATTATCTAAACTTCTTGCATTTTTCTCTCAGAAGTGTATTTTCCTACTTTGACTGGGCGGTAGGAAATCTTTTTGTCCTCTTGGATACATATAGTTAGGTCCCATTCCCCACCCCCAATATTTCCCCAGTTGTTTTGGTACCATTTCTTCTTTCCTTGCTATTGGGTGTAAAGGGTTGTTGTTGTTTTTTTTAAAATGGGCAACATTAGAATGTCATCTGGGACTGGATTTCCTGGATATTATCTATTATAAGTAATATGTTTTAAAAAAAAGTCTGTAAACTTGAATTATTGGTACAACATTACAAAAAAAATTGAATTGTATTAAATTTTGAACACAGTAAAACAGTGCCAAGTAATTATTGCAAAAAAAAAATTATATGACTGTTAAATGTTATTTAAAATCATCCAAATATTTATATATGGAAATGTCCATAGGTTGTAAAAAAATAACCTTGAATTTGTAGCAGTGAAAAAAACATCTGGGAATGTAGGCCTTCTGTTTATCTGGTAAATATTCAGCTTAATCTTGATTGGGAAGAAGAGAAATAAAGCAAGTATTTGAAATACTGTGTCATTACAGGCAAACATACCACTGAAAAAAGGTATGGTGACTGTTATCACCCACTGAAATTAGATTTATCAGAAAACAAGAAAGCTGCTTTTCCCAAAGCCTTTCCTGGTCAATATGTGTTCTTTCAACCATATATGCTTATAAAATACAAGCCTCTCAAAAATTTGGCTGGAGTAGCTTCAGGCAGCATAAACAGCAGATAGACAATTGAAGGAAGTTGTCTCACATGAAAAATAATGGCTCCAAATATTTATTTCTGCTAGTACTGTCCTTTTTTAATGCAGGAGTGATAAGCTCAACAAACATACATGGCCTTAACATAGTATTTGTAAAGATACTTGTTACAAACAAGCATAAATCTGCAAATGTGCTCCACGGTGGGTTGGGATCCAGGAAACAGCATAATAGTGAGTATTTTGAAATGGCTCCACTTACTCTGTTTTTCATTCTTGCTTAACTTAAAGCTTTTACTCTTTTCTCCTTGTTTCTATTCGTTGGCAACAAGCGTTTGTTAACTGGTCAATGTAATTTTTAACAAGATGGCACTAGAAGATGGCACAGTCAAATGGATAAAGTACATCTTAAGTACTTTGCCTGAAATACATATGTTCTAAAGTTTTTAAAGAATCTAGAGGGAGCTCTCTGAAAATAGAGCATGCTATTGAAATTAAATAATAGTCATTTTAAAAACAAAACACATACATTAAAAAAGCATAAACAGAAATGTGTATAAAGGTGTTAAAAAAAAGACAGCCAACTTCAAAAAACAGTAATTGCATGACAACCAAAGCAATTAAACTATCTTCCTTCTCATTTGACTTTTCCTGGTTGCATTTGTCAGAGGAAACCAAACTCCCACTAGTTTCATCATTTTGGAAAGAATGTATCTTATTAAAAGGGAGACAAACAAATTGGGCTGAGTTAAAGTGAAAAGACTATACCATAGGCTAACGCAGTTCTCCTACCATGACAATTCAGAAGGAGCTTTTGAAAAATCTTCATTCGCAATAGAAACTTTTCTGTGGATAGAGGTTTCTATCAGAAATAGAAAAAAAGAATAAGAGCTTTAGATTTAAATGAAGTAAATTATATCCAAAGCTTTCAGAAACAAATTTAAATTAAAAGCCAGATTGGCAATTATTAATTTCTAAAAGAATTATGTTTAGAAAGCTGCAAAAATATTACTGTGTCATTTTTTGTGTGTTGAAGGCAGCAGAAATCAATGGCTTGTTATGCTGGGTTGTGGCCACAGACAATAATGTACATAGGAATTGCAAAGATAAGGAGTCCCAAGAGGGGATAAAGGGATAAAAAAGAAATTAACTGAAAACTGGCTGTGATTTTCCTAGGATCTGTTAAAGGTGAATGAAGCTAATTGCATGCAAATTAACATACCTTTTCCCAGGCTCCAGTCTAAGACGTTTAGCCACTGATTTGCACTCTTGTCAAGATAAGAAATAGCTTTAAAAGGCTTAAGGTACAGATTGGAGCCTAGACTTTGTCATAAACGTTTCTCCAAACCTGGCAGTCATTTTGCCTTAAATGGAGAAAGAACCAAACAAGTATAAAAAGTTCTTTTCCGATCAAATAGCATTTACAATAGGGAAAAATGCCTTTTAGTGATGTAAAATAAAAATAGAGGTTGCTTACCTGTACATTTAACAGAGGTGCAGATCTCTTGCAATAAAGATTAAATCAGCCCTGGATGAATGTAGAAGGCATTTGCAAACATTACTAAAAGGTAGACAGGACCTTCTGAAGTGAGGGCAATGGCTGATGATTGAATACATTGATTACAATTCAGAAAAGTTAATAAAAATGATTTATGCATGTCATTCCATTATATTCCTTAACAGAAGGTCACATGTATTGCTTAAAACCTGAGGAAGTACTGGAATAGAATGGTAGCAATAAAAAAAAGAGCAGTCTATCACACACATACATTTCTAACAAAGGTGAAGAATCACAGTCCAGATTTAAATACTGTATGTGTTAGAGTCAGTATGCAGTAAAATGATTAGGCCTTATTCTTTTTGCTTGCTGCATAGATGGGAACAGCATGAAACTGAGGAAAAAACTGACACAATATATTAGAATGGAAAAGAATGGAGCCAAATTTGTTGTCACTTACAGGGCATGGCTAAAACCAACCAAACATACCAGCGATGATCTTCATCTTGTTCTGGATAATGCCACTTCCATCTCACAGATCCTCAGTCACATGCCTGAACTTTAAGCTGCCATTAACTAACATCAAAAGCTGCATGTGTATCCATAATACAGTCACAAATATTAAACCCTGGAGCACATCTTGATGCCAGCTGTGTTCTTATATCAGCTTTGACAACTTGATGACAGGACCTAATAATGCCAACCAAAACACTGCAACACTTCCTTGTATGCTTCCTGGCATAAAATCTTATGCCATAATAAATATTTGAGTCTTTAAGGGCACAAGATATTTATTTATTTATTTCTCAGACTTATATGCCACTTGAATCGCAAAACTGACTCTAAGCAACATACACTCCAAACTAGTAACAAAATATTATATACCCTCAGTATACAATATAATAAAACACTTATTATATCATGCTAGAACAATTAATCCACCACCTGGAGAGTTCCTTCCTCAACTCTCCATCCTCCTCCTGAAGGCTTCCTGGAAGAGCTGAGTCTTCATGGCTTTTCTAAATGCTACCAGATGTTGCTGTTGCTGAAGCCAGGGGCCTCTTCTGAAGGAGACAGAATAGAAATGGTTCACTGAGTCAGTTAATGTGAGGAGGCACTAACTGGAGAAAAGACAGGGTCTGGTACACTGAATTCCTCTCCTTCCCGAACCTCAACTTCCATGGCCATAGGTATGGCATTGTCTTCAGTTTAAGCAAACAAAACCAACTGCAGACTTCTCCATTCAACACAGGGAGATGGTATTAAGGAACAAGAAAAGGGAGCCTCTGAAACCTGTATTAATTCTTTGCTTTAATTAAACTGAGTAGAGATCTTCTTCATTAGCACTTGGATGGGAATCCACCAGAGAATCAGAGTGACAGGCTAGTTGGAAAGTTGAAAAAAATACCCTGGAAGAAGACAGTGGCAAATAGTATTTGTCATGCTGTTTATGTAGTCACCAGAAGTCAAACCTTCTGCTCAGAAATACATTCCCCTGAATTCAGTGGGACTCAACTCCAGGAGACTGTGTTCAAGATTGTGGAGAATTTACGCTGGAGTGAAAGTAGACCTTGTAGAAAGTAGACTGATTTTGCAATGTGCTTGTTAACAAAAATGCTGGGCTTAGCTTCAGGGTTGGGAAATATCAGGACAAGCAAGCACACAACATCAAACAGTTCTTCTGACCAAATGACCTGAGATAATTGATACGTACAGTACTACATCCTTCATCCTAAAGATGATAACATCAAAGTTTAGGCAATGTGTATTTAAATTCTGCTTTACTCATATAGTTCTGCTATACCCTTATTGCATTGCTTCTGGTTGAATTATTTGTACTGCTTTCCTTCTTCCATATGAAGTTATCTAGAAAACAGACAGTTCACTGTAAAGTCAGCAGATTTCTCATGGTTGATGTGTTTGTTACCTGTTATTTGCATATGGTAATCACTTTATCTGCATGCTTTCCTCCCCCATCTGGGGACATTTGGGAACATCAACATCCTGGAGATTGAATTTCTGCATGTCCAGCTCACTGGGGAAAAGAGAAGACTATGTTCAGAAGCCAGTGTTTTGCCCCCTGAAAATGACAGGCAGAAATACTTTTTGCATGCCAAAAAAAGGGGTGTGGGAATTGAGCAGTTGTCTGTTACCTGTCCATGCTCTTTGTTGCTGGAAGAAGAGAGGAGTTGAAGGAAATGACTTTTAGGTGCTGTTGGGTTCAAGAATATGGACAGTCTGTTTCTTCAGGCTGTAGACTTGTCTGGTAAAATAATTAACAGTGAGACAGATGGAGAGGAAGGCATCATCACATCTGCACAAGGCAGGATGGCTGGAACAGTGCAGAGGAGGAATTGGGGAGGGAATCCCCACTAGCCGTGCGGAAGGACAGAGATTGCCAAGAATAGTTAAACTGATTTAGGAAGAAAAGCTGAGGGAACAAACTGATTTCACCTCCAATTGTGGTGTCAGCCAAAGAGAGAAAGAGAGAGAAGAGGAGGAGGAAGAGGATAGAGATTCCAAACAGTTTTCAACACACACACACACACACACATACCTTTTCACCTTCTCTTATCTGGTTATCTCAGAAACAGGGAATATGGACCTGGGATAGGAGTCTTATGATCCTCAAACTACAATTCTCAGCTGTGTCTAATCAATGGACATTTGTGAAGGATGCTGGGAATTGCAGTCCAGCCACATCTGGAGAACCTTAAGTTTCCTCTGAAACAGCAGAACTAATAAATCTAGTTTATTTTATCAGAAGAATGTGCTGTAGTTTATGAACAGCACAAGAATAAATAATATCCTTCATTTTGAACAATTTCTCCATCTTAATTCCCAAGTCAAACAATAGGAAAATAATAAATGGCACTTACAGGAGTGTCATGTAAAGGTAGACTGGGAGCAAGTTGAGATTTATAGGTAGGTCTCTTTAGGATTTCCAAGAATTTCTTTAACTTAAACTCTTTAATGATGGAAGCACCAAAATGTTCTCCCACATCAATAATATCATGGAAATGAAAGAAGGTATGTGGTTAGGAGTGAATAGACTGTGAATTCAGATGAATTCTGGTGCTCAGATTGTCTGATTCAAAATTCTTTAGTTCTAAATGTATCCAGTATAATTCTATGTATCCAGGTTGCCTGTACTTGTTGGAGGATTTTAAAATAAGAAATATTTATTTCATGACCCTGAAGTCTGAAAAGTCTGAAAAAACTTCACAGTTCACTTTTAATAGTACAGTAATGATTAGTTTGGGGTCCTGTTTTTTTGAAAACTTCGTTAGCCTTTTTTAGTACTCAGAAAGGCAAAGTCTCAAATCAAATCAATCAGTCAATAAACAAGGAAGGAAGCATATCCTTTTTATTGAGAGTGAGACATAAGGGGCCTTCCAACTCCCATCAGACCCAGCCAGCATGGCCAGCAGTTAAACATTCTAGCGTTGCAGCCCACAGGCTCTTCATTCACTCAAGTGTGGGTGCACAACATGCAGCCTTCCAGATGTTGATAAACCACAACTTTAAAGCAGCCTGGCCCGTAGTGAGTCTTGCTGGAAATGGCATCTTACTGACATCTGGAGTGCACCTCTGTGTGTTTTCCATTCCTGCTCAGAGCTTAGTCCTTATTGAGCTGTTTTTATTCACCCTACTCCCACCTTTTAAAAGAAATTTCCTCCTCTGATGGTGTGTTATATTTATGCAAACCTTGAAATTCTCCAGAGCTCATTGTCTTTTACTCGTATCTATTTTACCATCATAAGAGACTGTGGGCCATAGAAATGAAGGATTGTGATACCACTTCAGCCATGTGAAAGCAGTAGCAATGTTATCCAAGAACTTGCATGCTTTCCCTGAAGGACAAAATGAACGAATATTATAGCACTCATTAACTCCCAATTAAAACCTGACTGCAACATTGCTATGCCACTTTTTCTCACTTTCTTATCTGTAGTTTTTGCTTCTCCTTGTTTTTTGTTTTGTTTTGTTTTTCTGTTCTTCAGATGCAGTTCCATGCCAACATTATACAGGGACTTTATGACATCATAGCAATGAGATTTAAAATATGAAATAATACTTTCAGATGAATTATGGCACCTCACTTTCAAAATACCTTCCATTTAAAGTGTTTTCTGCTCAGT